AAGGCAGTCTGCTGGTTGCTAAGATTCAGAAGATGGTTGAAAGGCCAGCCCGAGTCCCAGAAAGCTGAACAAACTCTGCAGGGTGGACTAACTCTGAAAGAACTACAAGCAGCAGAGAAGAAAATCTTGCAGCATGTACAAAGCCAAGCATATGCAGATGAGATCAGAGCACTTGCCCAGAGTACAGAAGATGATGGAGGGAGCAGACAAAAGATCAAAGGAGTGAAGAAAACCAGTTACATCTACAGAGTTGACCCAGTCATAAATGGTGAGCTGTTAAGAGTTGGAGGAAGATTGAGCAGGGCCTCACTGCCAGTTGATGCTAAACACCCCATCATCCTTCCCAAAGCCAGCCACGTGTCAACCTTGATCATAAGACGCATTCATGAGACATCCGGACATAGTGGAAGGAACCATGTGCTTGCAAGTCTTCAACAGAAATATTGGATTTCTGGTGCTAACTCCACAATCAGAAAAGTAGTTGGCAAATGTGTGATGTGCAGACGGTACAGCCAAAGTCATGGAGCAGAAGATGGCTGACCTCCCAGCAGACAGGATCAAACCTGATGAGCCCCCCTTCACCAGAGTAGGAATGGACTACTTTGGGCCACTAGAGGTGAAAAGAGGTCGCAGTGTGCTAAAACGGTATGGTGTGATTTTCACCTGTCTATCTTCACGAGCTGTGCACCTTGAGAAGGCTGACTCCCTAGACACGGACTCATGCATTGATGCTATGCGGCGATTCATTGCTTGCCGGGGAAATGTGACAGAGATGAGATCGGATAATGGCACCAATCTTGTGGGTGCTGAAAGAGAACTTAGAACAGAAATCAACAAGTGGAACCAGGCTCAACTGAACAAAGCATTGCTGCAGAGGAACATTCAGTGGACCTTCAATCCACCTGGAAGGTCCCATCACGGTGGTGTATGGGAAAGGCAGATAAGAACTGTGAGAAAACTGCTTTTCTCCCTGATGAAGCAGCAGACATTGACTGATGAGAGCTTGCACACTCTACTGTGCGAGGTGGAGAGTATCATCAACAGCAGGCCCTTTACCAGGGTATCTGATGACGTGAACGACCTAGAAGCATTGACCCCAAATCATTTGCTTCTGCTGAAGTCTACCCCCCATTCCCCCCAACTACCCCCAGTAGTCACCCAGGAGACCGACGTCTACGCTCGACGCAGATGGCGACAAGTCCAGTACCTATCCGATGAGTTTTGGCGCAGATGGGTACAGGAGTACTTTACTTTACCTCAGTTACAGGAGAGACAGAAGTGGGTGCGTCCCCAGCCTAACGTCGGTGTTGGAGATCTAGTGTTGGTGGTGGATACATCTGTGCCAAGGAATCTCTGGCCGCTTGGGAGAGTGGTACGCACTATGCCAGACAAGGATGGATTCGTTTGAAGCGTGGAGGTGAAGACCAGAACGAATGTCTACAGGAGGCCGATCACCAAGTTGTGCTTGCTTTTGGAAGCAGACCCTTAAGCGCAGTTTGACAAGACAAGACATGAAGATCTGTGCAACCCGTGAATCGCGGCTCCAGTCTACAGTAGAGTTTCACAGCAAAGAAGTGAAACTCTTCTCTTTGTAAATATGTTTGTAAGAGGTGCGAGCCTAGCGCCGCCTCAGTTTGTTTGATGATGTTACACCTTACAAGGAGCAGTTGAGGCAGGATATATTCGCAGAGTTCAAGCCAAAGTTGCAGTGGATGAATGGGAATTTGATTTGCATATGTTGTGATTTCAAATGAGGTGCGAGCCAAGCGCCACCTCTACCTTTGTGCCTTTGTTTGAAACGTGCAAAATTGCAAATGGAACCCTCAAGCCAGCTAGTTGCATTCATGTTCGCGATTCAGGAACAAGGACGAGACATTGACTTGACTGTCGCGAAAATCTGTTTCAAGGATCAAGTTTGCAGTGACATTGAACTTTGCAATTGACAGTTGAAATACTTGGAGTGGAACTTCAAAAATACTCTTGATTCAGTGACACTTGCAGCTTATTTGTAATATAAAGATGAATCATTGTGTTAAGTACTTTTTGTGCTCAGCTTTTACACGTAAAAAATATTTGTGCATGTATGATCACAAGTCATTAATTGAGAACAGAGCTCTTGTATTGATTGATTTGGGATATGTAAGTTAAAATCTGATTGTCAATGAGTGTTCATATTTTGATTCAGTATATTGGTTAGAAAATTGGACCCCCAAAACAGTTGGCAGTATGTGTGAAGTTAAAGCTAAAGATTGTTCAGGTGACCAGTCTAATAATTCAGAAGCTCAGTTTTGCCAAATGTCGAGTGTATTTATTTCTTGCAACATTGCCATTAAATGTACAAGTTGAGTATGAGATGTGGATTGTTAAAGTATTTGAATCGACACGTACTTCTAACAGGATTAATTGTACAGTGGAAATTGTTTGCTAGTATATTTCATGACACATGTACTATGTAAATTATGTAAATAAGCTGATTGTTCATGTGATTTCAGTTTGAATAATTGTAAACCAAAGATTCGGTATTAATTGTGCTCACTACATAGAATACCCATGGATTTGTCCAGTATATGTAATTCCCGATCATGAGCAATTTTCCTTTAGGTCTTTAGACATGATTATCATTGAAGGCATTGTGTATTTTAGGAAAATAACAATGTAAATAGGATGAATTTACAAGATTCGTTATCACTGTTATTTAAAAATGCAAGAGGCAGATTTCAGTATGTCTTTTTGTTTTGGACTCATTGTAGTACTCTAGATGGTTGGATAATTGACTAGAATATTTGCTAGTGTGATATTCTTATAAGTTATACAGTGTCTAGTACAAATGGAGGTTATGCAAATGCATATAAGTTTAGGCTAGTTCCTTTCTTTAGAATTGTGGAAGTGTATGTTTAAGACTCATAGTTGTAGCATATATTGCAAGTTGCAAGTAGGTTGTGTATCGAAATTTGGTTTATTGGATCAAGTGTATTCAATTTCAGTTCCCTGTAGTTTGATAGAAGTGCAGAGAAATTTAGGACTCCTTTTGTAATAACCAGTTGTCACTATTTTGTATTCGCTCAGAATGTGTTCAGTGGTTACCAGTACAGTGTGTAATGTAACTACGTTTTGTATTGAGTTTGGATTTGTAAAAATGTCAGACAAATTCGACTTGGACTTATGTCAGAAGAGTAAGTTGGACAATGTATCATGCAGATTTGCCATTGGTCTAGGTGAAAGGTTATCACCAGGATATTGTACACATGTAAGTAAGTTCTGAATCTTAAACGGAATATACAACATTTGCAAACATCGGAAAACAAAACTACCCTTTTTTTTTACGAAAAACCTTACTAGGATGTTGGTAAATGACAGTTTAAAGCATCCTGTAAAATTATGGCACCAGGTGTGAAGTCATTTTCAAGAAACTTGGTATTTTGTATAAATTTCCAACGGTGGTCGGCCGACCACCGTAGGAAAAACCTGACTATTTCTCAACTACTGCTCTAATTTACCATTTTTGTTCAATCCAAATTTTGTTTGCTATTGGTTACATGTTCATGAACGGGTGCAGGCCAGCTAGAGTGGTTCCATTACCTTACAATTTTCTGGCATCTATAAATTGATCCATTTCATCTTTAGTGGAGTCAGGGAACCAGACTCCTCGAACATTTTTGTTTTTCTTAGTTTTTCCAGCATTTTCGAACACAAAACTTCAAACATGTCAGTGTAACAATATTTGATCTATTATACTAACCCCTCAAATAGTTCATTTCTGATAATTACAACAATTGCCAATGATGTACATTCCCTTTAAGAGGAAATGTTGTTTAAGAGTTTGTGCAGACTTGTTTGAGAAACCTGTATTGTTCAAAGCCCAGAAGTTACGCATGTTAGCCATGTTGTTTATTGTTGTTAGCAAAACAAATGTTCCAGTATTGTTGTTCAATAGTTTGGTTTTGTTTGAAAGAGAGGTAATTGTACCACAGGAGCTTGTACAATTAAGGGGCCGGTATGTTAGTGCCGAATTCACCGCATGAAACAGTTATAGCGCCCTCTGTTGACAGAAAAAGTTTGTAGATATCATTATGGGATAGCGATCGATAGGAGCGTGGAGGACATAAGTTTTTTCAACCTTTGTAACAGTTTTGTATCACCTTTTAGACACTTTTGACAAGCTTATTCTCGACTTATGGATATTATTGTGTGTTTTGGAGCTATTGGAGGATAACAGGAGCTTCACATAAACTGTAAGAACACAGTAGGCAAGGCATTATTGAAGGAAATAGAACTGATCCGAGGGCCTTGAATTGAACATTGTGTGAGCTTGTGTTTTTTCTTATGAGCCGGATTGAAGCGTTGGAAACTTTACTAGGCCCGTTCCTGTCCGCCAAATGAACGTGAAAATCTTTGGGAGCCTTAAAGTGAACTTTAGAAAGGCCCATAAATAGGCACGTATACTTTCAAACATAAGGTTTTTCGACGTTGGTTGTTTAGCAAGGATTTACTCTTTCGTTCCTTTACAACTCCCGTTCTTTTGGGCGAAAAACAACGCTACCATAATCCATATCTTACAGGCATCGCGTAGTTGTGAAAAAAAATTTGTTAGTGACGTGACGTGACGTGCTGGCTTTGTTTACATATGCACTTTCCTATGTAGTAGACCGAGTTCCACTTAAAGGAAATATACAACATTTGCAAACATCGAAAAACAAAACTACCAATTTTTTTTTACGAAATACCTTACTAGGATGTTGGTAAATAACAGTCTAAAGCATCCTGTTAAATTATAACACCTGGTGTGAAGTCGTTTTCAAGAAAAGTGGTATTTTTGTATAAATGTCCAACGGTGGTCGGTATATACATATGCACCGGTATATATTTTCTCATGTTATTAAGGAAGTAATGTCCCAAACCTCATAGCACACACCCCATTCGCTAACGTCGTTAGGGAAAATAAAATTCGCCATCTGAACCGGTTTTCCTATACAAGATACCGTAAAGTTTTCACGACTTACCATCCTTATTTATAAATCTTTCAAAGAACTTCTCCCAGCCGGGGTATGTCTGTAAGCTGGTATCGAATTGATGCATGTGGTAGTACGATACAGCCACGTCTTTTGGGTTTCGAGCTACGTACACAACTTTTGGCCTCTTGTCGAAAATCTGCTTGGGTAGGAGGAGTGGTGAGAGATGCGTCTTAATCTTTCTCGGTGTGTCTTGTTGCATCTTGTCCAACAGTGTGTGCGTTGGTGGGATCAAACCGACCTAAAAGATGGATATACAACGGATATAATAAGTGCCAAGTCATGTTTGTTGTTTCTCCATGAAAAGACACGTTTACATTGTCCTTATCCACCTTACAAATGTATTAAGTTTACATTTAGCCTATAGGCCTACGATAGTTAAATGCTGCAATGAACGGTGTGCAAGTGCAAGACCGCTTCATCGTCTCGCGTGCCTCAAGGGGAGCTAGTTACTCGGACTAGGGAAACCCTATGTTATATATTTTGAACAGAGCAGCGAGCACACAAATGCATAGTGATTGGCAATGAAGACTGCTCCATATTTTGAAGGAATATTCAGCTCAAATGGGTGCACCTAGCAATTCCTTGATTTCCAAGACATAAACGAAACATATTGATTTTAAAGGTAGCGTCCATCATTTGTAATTTGTGCATTATGTTCGTTTGAAGCAACAAAAGTGCTCAAAATCTAAAGAAGAGTGCTGAACCACTAATAACCGGATGAAGTTTCAGCTCAGTGAATGCTGTATAATGCTGTATATTCCGAGAAAACAATATTCTACGATCTAGATTTCAAATCAAAAGTTGCTGAGTCATTTTTTGAATTGGGCCTGAATTCCGTGTCAAATGTAAACATTGCAGGATGAACTTTCCAATGAGACATTGAACGATAAAATTGGTCCACGCTTTATTGGGAACAACTAAAAATGTTAAGACATAATTATTATCACATATATGAAATGATATAGGAAGAAACGACATGGGTCATGGGTGATTTAATATCGATACTAAACACCCATAATTTCTAACTAACCTGGGAGTAATGACTTATCCAGGTGTTCTCCAGAAAAGGAAATCGAAAAAAGACGTGTAAGTCCTTATGGTGCTCGGCCTTAAGACCGTCCATAATCAAACTGATTATTTGTTGCATCCACGTTGTACCTTTTAAGAGTGATACAAAATATTTGATATCTCAGTATTTCGAATTCATTTCATAATAAATGACAAAACAAAATTTCAGGATTAATGAAAAACAACCAACCAACGAAGTACGAACACAACAGCCCAACAACCCAACAAACAAATAACCCAATAACCCAACAAATAACCCAACACCCCAACCAACAAACAAACAATTAAACAAACCAACAAACCAACAAACAAACACATTTTCCATACACCATGTTAGCTGGTAACCCTTACCAGCTTTAGGGTAGGTAACAAGGTAGATGTCATCCTTTCGAACTTCAAATGATTCCAGTTCTACAAAGACTTCTTTAGGCACCCCTCTGGACACGCATATTCCCTTATGGTAGTACTCAAGACTCTCGCCTACTTCAGGCTCTACACGCGGTAAGGACAGCACCTTCTTCTGAAACTCTTTAGGAAATTAACAGGGTAAAACTTGCCAGTATTAGTATTCAATTCAATGATTTCAAACAAATTATTGACATATAATCTGCATATAATAGTTTTGTACATAATTTACAGGGGTAAACAATTATGAAAAAGGGCATTATAGTCGATTTTGAAGAGTAACATCGGTTTAGGCCTTTTAATTTTGCAACCTCATTCCATTTTTTTCCCTCGGAGGAAACTTATTTATTTAGAAGAAACGTTTCTCTTGCGTTTTACAATAAGTAAAAACAAATAAGAAACTAATCATTACATAAAAGAGAGAATGAGTCCCATTTCGCATTAAATTTAGCAAAATTACCATTTGTAGAAAATGTGATTTTTTTTCTAATACATAGTATCGTTTTAGCTCATTCTTAAATATTAAAAAAAGACGGTCTACTACCATTCATCTTCATTTTGTAAATGTGGTAACGGCATAGGAGAAAACTTAAGTTAAGGGCGCTCCAATTTTTGTTAAGTATGCCGAATAAAATCATCTCGTAGGCCTTTAATATTGAAGGCCTTCTTAATCCATTCACTGATGTGGGTCCAGAACGATACAAAAAAAAATCACAAGTACAAAATAAGTGAATCAGAGTTTCATTTTCTACATGACAGAAGGAACATAATTCATTCTCCCCTTTGCTCATCTTTGCTATAAGAATTGACGCATAAGATTCTATGAACTAATCTGTAATGAAACCACCGTAATTTTGTATCAAAAGTTATCGCAAACAGCATACTGCAGAAACCGACTATTTAGTTGCAGGGAAATTGATACTCAATATTGCTTCCCATTTATCAATAAACTTACTTGCAACCTTTTTCACTGAAGTAAAAATATGATTGATTGGCCCTACGGGTAGAACCTTTTTTTATCTACCAAAGAGTATCTCAAAATTAGAAGAAAAGCAAATATTTGAATAAATTACGAAAATATTTATTACGGCCTTGACGACACCACCATACTATAGAAAGTTAGTCATAATACTAAATTGTAACATAAAGCCCTCTAAGCTAAAAAAGAAGAAGAAAAAAGCCCCTTTATTGTCAAGTAGGTCAGACACAGCCCCCTTGTTGGCCCAGTAGTTGTAAAAAATGCAATTGTTACAAATCGTAATTCTGTGGTTCTTCCACAAAACCTTGCTAAGAGGATCATTCTGATTACTGCCCTCTTAAGTGAATGGACAATGCCAGGGTGACCGCCTTCCACAAAAAGCACATTCTCAATTTCAGTAATCTTATAAAACAAATGGGGCCAACCTGAGGCCTTTGTGTTCAATAATCTACGGATCCAAGTACACTTAAGAACGCTAATAGGACCGCAAATCAACCATCTTAACTCCCCCATGACCATAATTCTGAATCATCTGATTTCTAGCAACTCTATCGCCACTTTTCCAAATAAATTTATACAACATAACATTCAGATTCTTAATTAAATACGACGGTGGGTCAAGGAGTGAATAAGGAAAGTACATTTGGATAAAATAAGCGACTTCACTATTGTATGGTGGCTTTAAAGGGACATCGCACATATATATTGACGCCAATATTCACGACATGGCCCCCATGTCGCAAATATTGACGCCAATATTGACGCCAATATTCACGACATGGTCTCCATGTCGCAAATATTGACGCCAATATTGACACCAATTAATATTCACGACATGAACCCAAGTCGCAAATATTGACGCCAATACTGACGCCAATATTCACGACATGGTCTCCAAGTTGCAAATATTGACGCCAATATTGACGCCAATATTCACGACATGGCCCAAGTCGCAAACCCACTCAGGCGTGATTTTTTTTCACAGCAACTTGGGGTGTCCGTTACCCACACAGTCTGGCACCCAGTCCCACCTATCTCTGGCTGAACGTTCGTCGTGAGGCGCAGTGCCAACCTCGTACCCAGGGTGTCGAGCAGTACGCGCCCATCACTACCTGCTCTCTCACCCTGGTTTTGGATCATTTGCATATGTGCAAGATTTTTGCACACGTATGCAAATGAAGAACAGTCTGGTGTCTGGATATGCGTTACACATTAGCATTTGTTTTTGTATGCGGTGTCTGGGGTAAAAACAGAGTCAATTCGTAGCAGCGCGAGCACGGCGTGAGTTACGAAAACACGATTTTTGAAATCAAACTGTTACGATCTTATCGAGACAACATGTAGTATCATATTTTATATTATTATGAGCAAATTGGAAAGGAAATTAGTATTTTCGAGAAGGCGTGGACGAATGATCGCGAAAACACGTACTGCACGTTGTGAATAATAGCACCAAGTACACGATAAAAATCCATTACTAGCCAATTGCAGTATCCAATCAGGATACAGGAAGAAAGTTTCCTATCCAGGGTTTACTATTGGAAACCGTGTTGGAAATAAAGTAAGCACTGGGGACGAGGTTGGCGCAGCGCGAACCATGGATGTACAAGTACATTGGACGCAAGGTGACCGTTTTAGCCGATTTTCGGCTAACTTTGACAGAATTGTTGTAAAAAACGAGAGTTTGACAGAAAATTTGACAGAATGGATTTGGGGGGGCCGGGGGGGGGGGGCAGATTTCTGGCACAATTCTGCAAAAATGGTTGTCAATTTGATTTGATGACTGAGAACAGCAAATTTGAACAAAAAATTAACAGGAAATTTGAACAGCAAATTTGAAAAAAAAATGGTACATATGTTTAAAAAAGCTTCAATCTTTTCAAACAAACCCTGGCATAATGGGACAGGTTGGCTGGTCTAAGCAAATACTTTTCGCAAAGTTGCGCTTTTTATTTTTGGGACTCTATCGAGTCTTATTAGCCTTTGCTCGAGTCGAGTCGTGTCTTCTGATGAGGGACTCGAGTCGAGTCATTTGCTCGCAGTGACTCGAGTCGAGTCGAGTCATTTACCTTTAGGGACTTGAGTCGAGTAACCAAATATTTTGACTCGAGTCGGACTCGAGTCTAGTAACCAAAAATTGTGACTCGAGTCGGACTCCAGTCGAGTCATTGACCCGAGACCAATGACTCGACTCGAGTCCGACTCAAGTCACAATTTTTGGTGATTCGACTCGACTTGAGTCCCTAAGGGTAAATGACTAATTGACTCGAGTCACTGCGAGCAAATGACTCGAGTCGACTCGAATCTGTCGTGATACTTCATGAGCACTACTTTGTATGCGCGCAAGCACATTAGGTGAACAGTTCGCCCGCGCTCACTCTTACATTATGTCTGATGAATAAAGCTGCAGTGGCACAGAACCTGAGAATAATCTCCATCTGAGTTCTTCATTGATTCATCTCACTTCATGGTGGCAGCGGTGGTGAAAAAGGCCAGAGAACACCCATCACTCTCAACTAAGCAGAGTAACTGAAAACTACCGGAAAGTAGCAGAAATTGTCTCCGCGTCAACAACGTTTCCGCTGTGATCGCCAGTGTGAACTGTACATATCCATATGTGTACTCGCCGCGTGCGTAGATTCAGCGCACCACATCACACACTGTATGCCGCACACCCACCGTCGCCAAGCCCACTGCACACCGCACGCAACGTAACTGAAACTCAGCTGCGTGCGTAGCCTAGCCCGGAGTCATCGCCGGACTGAGCCAAGCCTAAGCCATCACCGAGCCAACGCTGAGACGGACCGCTATACCGTGCTGTGGACAGCACGGACAAGAGAAAACCCCTCGCCCCGAGTCGACCATCGGCATCATAGCGACAGAGGACTTTTTCGTCTTTTTCGTGGAGCTGAGTGAAAGCTGATCGAGCTCCGATTTGACGCGACCGCACCGGGACTCGACCGAGCTTACTCGACCCGTACACACGGTCGACCGGTCAGGGACCAGCCCGTCGCACCATCGCGTGACCAAGTCAAGTCACTACAATAACTTTGTCAAAAGTCTGATCTACGGGCCGGGAGTGATCATCAGCCCCCCCCCCCCCCAGCCAGTTCACGTAACAACACCTTTGAATCACCTTCATATTGTTAACATTGTTTCGCTATCGTGCACACATTCTTGTAGCTGTGCGTATGAACAAATAGTTCCGTGAACATCACGCATCTTTACGTCAAGTGTGACCTTTGACCCTATCACTCCGCATCATCGCCGGAACTGTGCGCTTCCCGCTCATCACAGTGAACATTCGCCGTATTCATCCGCCAGTGCAGGTGTAGTGTGAATTTACGTTTCTATGAAAATCGGACTCATTGGTAATACTGCGCATGCGTAAGTATGATAATTAGGAAAGTGACCGGTCACGTGAGAGGGATTAACCAATAAAAGGGAAAAGGGGTCCGATTTTCATAGGAGTCGGATTTTCATGTGACACCGGAACTGTGCATCAATCATATCTACGGAGGCCTGTACGGGACATCAAGTCAAGTTGGAAATCTGAAAGTACATCGCTCATTTCTGTGGAAAAGCAGGACAAACTGTGTTTGGACATTCTTGGAGAAAGGACTGCTCACCAAAAGAACTCTGGACATTTCATATATGAACAATAATATGTGTTTTGACAAATATATTGTTGAATAGTCAAAATTATTATTGAAATAATTATATTGTTGTGATTTATTGTGATCACTAATCGTAGCACTTACCTTTAAGCTACATTGCAGTTGCTATTGTTTACAATTTCGTTTGCTGTAGCATATTGAATTGTATCCCAGAGATTTCTATCCCACAGCCCTGCATCATGGCCATTGCAAGTTCCCAGAAATAAACTGGGGTGCCACAGACATCGCAGAAGAGTTAAAGCTTTTTAAACAACGGATGGACCTGAGCTTCAGGGACCAGGAAATCACCGATCCTGCCAAGCGTGCTGTTAAGATACAAATAGCAGTCGGAACTGGAGGCCTCAAAATGATAAATTCTTCAAGCCTGTCAGCAGAAGAACAACTGATCCCCAACCAGTTATGGGAGTTGTTCGAGAAGCAGCTACACATCAAAGTGAACTTCCGCATACATCGCCTGGAGCTTATGCGGTATCGCCAGAAACCAGATGAATCCCTGGACAACTTCGTCAACAGATGCCGAGCAAAGGCACACGAATGTAACTTCGGACCAGAGGAAATGACGGAACGCATCATGGAATTAGTGATTGCGTCTACCACATCTGAATCTTTCCAGAAAGATCTTCTAGCAAACCCATTGGTTTTAGCATCGATGACATGCTACAAGCGGGACGGAAGTACGAAGCCATCCTTGCTGGCAAAAAGTGCCTTGAGACGTTGGAGGCGTCACATACAGCTGTCCATGCTTTCCGACCCACTGGCAGAACCTGTGGCAACTGTGGTCTATCCCACCCACCAAGACGGTGTCCTGCCTACCGGGACACATGTAAATCATGTGGTTCCAAGGGCCATTGGGCCAAATTCTGCAGAAAGACCCGAAGCCAGGGTAAACGCAAGGGCAAAT